ATATTCTACTGCTTTGAACGCAAAGAGGCCTAATTTTTCGGTTTTTTACAAATCAATATTAAAATAGTTATTCGTACCTTTTAACGGACACCAAGAGAAACATTTTCTGTTTTATTAATACAGAATAATACTAGGTAATATTCGGGCGCCTTTCTAACTTGCGTGGTGGTATGTGCGCTAAAATATCAATTATTATTATCAGTTGTATAGTAGTGTGACTTGTTAATTATGTATCTACTGACTTGTACGTTTCTTACTAAGCTTGATTAGCATTTATAATTTTTTTTTTTATCCCTTATCTACATTTAAATGCACGAGTCATTAACCTGTCATGAATTTGGTGGTAAAATTATCAAATCTATCCATTCATTTAGCACCAGAGTTGTTTTACTTCCATGCTGTATATATTACCCATTCGATTTCTCATGCATCAAGGGTTTTCCCACATTTTGCAGAATTATTATTCTTTATTGGCATAGGAACTTTAACTAAAAATGTTTCTAAAATAATCATATTCACACATTTTAATATCTCCCAGTCCCATACAAGTAAATTTTCATTTCATGTTTGTGCCTTCTGAATTCTGATCACCGCAACGGAAATTCATCCAATTTACATGTAAAGTCTGAAATAGTGTATGTAAAATTGTAAATTGTTATATACATTGTATGTAACTTGTCAGAGATAATTAATTCACTTGTGTTCGTGGCTGCTGTTTATTTAACCATTCTTCAACATATTTCAATTCTACGATTCTTACCTTATATTTCAAATTCTCCCGATCCATTGCAGAACTGCTTTCTAAATTCATTTCGTAAATTTGAGTTAGACCGTAAAGAAATTGTAGGCATATAATGTACAAAATAAATGATTAAAATGGTGTCCGATTTTTCTTATAGGGACTAAACAAAATTGATGTTTTGACTTGAAATAAATACCATTATCATTCATGATTTTAAGTTAAGGGATAAATATCTATAAATAAAAACAAATTTAAAAGGCCAATGAGTGACAGCGTTCTCGAAATAGTGCTTGCTTAATTGTTGAAAAGATGTCACTGCATGCTCCAGACATTCTAAATGTTGATTTAACATTATAGATTATCGATATCATTATCATGTCATACTTTCGTCATGAAAATGTTGATACAAATCGGGTAAAGATAAGTTAAGAAAATATGAAAGAAAATTCAGTTAAAATATCCAAGTGCCCGTGAGTGTACATGTCGTAGTAAAGCATTATTTAGTATGACCAATGCAAACATATCCTATATAATTACTTGGTTGTTTATAGCCAGATGTGTCTGCCTATTCATAACGAAATTTATCTGTGCTTAACTGAAACTATATATAATAGAAATCTAACAAATATTTTATGTTCGTGCTAATGTAGAATACAGATACATGACGTCAATGAAGCTAATCTATTTCAATAAGACAGTGTTGTTAAAATGAGTTGCATTATTTTATTTACGATAGAGCATTTTGACGTAGGATGTCTCAATTTCAAATTACATTTAAAATACATATTTAGATGATTTTATTCAACTTCATAGAAAAGGAAGAAGAAGAACAAAAAAGAAGAAGAAATATCGGAAAAGAAGAAAATACATGTAACATCAACATAACATGTTATCACATTACTAAAGGTAATCGAAGTGGGTATCATCATATTGTGTTTTTTCTGATAATTATGTATCCTAAAATATGTTGTTTTTGTAATGTATGTGAGCAAAACGATCATGTCAAAAGTCAAAAGTACATTTCAAAAGTACGTTGGACTAATAAAAACAAAACGAAATTAATCAAAAGCTAAACTTGTAACTACATGGCGATTTATGTGCTGCTATGAGCAATAGCTACAAGACTTTTAAGTGTATTTTGATCATGACTTAAATGTTTTAAAATCCCTTTTAAAAAAAATTATGCAAAGTGTTCGTTTCAAAGAAAATAACCAAAAGCAATTATGAATGACATTTAAAAAGTTAAATTGGTTGTCTTTATATTCACAACCCTCCAGAATAGGGACCATATTAATTGCACACGATTCGGTCAAGGATACATTATGAATAGACGTACAGAAAAAGATAAATACATTTCCCATTTTCCATATCAAGTTTTGGGGAAAAATTGTATACTAAAGTACATTTTAAGGCATTGAGCAATTGACCATACATGGTTCCCATTCATAGTATGTGCTAAATTTATCAAGGCATGTATGGAGGTGAACTCGTACAAGTACACTTTGGACTCCAGTATCTCACTACCCTCAAGTACTGAAGAATGTGGTCAAGCCATTGTGAATGACCATTGAAGGGATCGCCTTGACCCTTCAATTTCTAAGCTTTCCTCGGCCACACATCTGCCCGGTCAAAAGAAAGAGCTGCAAAAAGATTGTTTGAACAAACTTATGAGGGCACGCATGCACGTCCATTGTTGTGCTCGGAGCTGACCCCGTAAATTAAGGCCCCCCATTCATGCCGTAAACAAAAACTTCCTCCGATAACTAAACACTACATGACTGATTGAGGTTAGGGGTAAAAAGGGAAGTAGGGGTGTAGGAGACGGGGCCAAGGGAGTGGGGGGGGGGGGGGGTAAGGGAATGACCCTGAGTAACACTTTTTAATGTTCTTTCAATATCAACTAATGATACTTTAATTAAATACGATAGAAGTAAAAGTATTGGAGCAAATAACTTTTAATCATTACTTTTAAATGTTGCATTTTTATTTGTATATGAGTCAGCTTTTTTCCTTGTCAAATCCATGATTTCTTCACATGTACATTTTGCATTGGCCAGGCTTTTTAAAAACTACTAAAACTGGCTAGAGCATGATGAGCATGGTATACATGTATCTTGATTTAAGACCTTTGAACAAAAAGAACTATTAAATAAGCATAGCTGATAGTTTTGCAATGCTCACAAGGTTATAACATTTTAAAAATGTGAAACTTTAAAAGCATAATGGTTGTTAAACTATGTGGACTCTAACTTGACTCATAACTTGAAAAGATAAAGCTGACCAACGAGGAAATAATTTTGTCTAAAGGGGCGTTTTTTCTTCTTTTTAATTTGGACAATAACATCAAGATAAATCACAGTCAGTGAGAATTTTTTTAAACAACACAATGATGCATTAAAAGTTTTCAAACAAGTCTAACGTGACATAATTCATTATTGCTTTTCAGCTTTTCTGTCTCTGAATTTAAAGACCGCTCTATGACGGCCATTGTAATGCTGCGAGCTATAATGAAGAAATCTAAATATTATAGAATTCACATGTGTACACTGCTTTAAAATGTGGTATATTTTTAGTGTAATAACTATTGGTCTGTTCTGTTTGTGGGCCACTAAAATGCATCACTCATTTTCTTCATTTATATTATGGATATGAAGTGTAAAATCCAATGTGTTAATAATACCATAACTAGTTAAAAAAATTTGATAATCATTCCATTATTAGGATCGTAATTGTTTCCATTAATCTAGCATAATAATATCCTGAATTCACACACACAGCATAGACCTACAAATATATATTTCTACATGCCTTTATGGCCTACAATAATGTTTACATTTTTGTAAGTTTTGCACACTACTTCAATTTCACCATTTCATCGCTGATCGTTCAAATTATGCTTTTACACAGTAATGTACAAATAATGTTCTTCCATATAGCTATACTTTGTCAATACATACTTTCTGCTCAAATGTTTTGACAAAATCATCTGTATAACAAAAGTGTATTACAAAATATATCAAGCCTAGTTTTTTTAATGAGTTTGTCAAATAAGTAATAACATTACTTTAGCTGCTGTAGGCCTACATACTTTGTAATTAACTAGGTACATCTAAACATAGATTCATGTAAAAAAAGATTGGTGCAACTGCAAATGTCTTGTAAATTTGCAAACTAAGATTAGCTACCAAACGAACTACTGCATACGGATCTATTTCAGGAAACGATTTTTGCTTTCTCATGAGCAATACTGCACTATTAACATTACATTTAAAATGCATATACTTGCAGAATACATAATGAATCATACCCTTCTATAGCTACTCATCTTTAACAATTTTATCATCCATATTTCATAACTGTCAAGAGCTATTTACCAGAAGAATCAATAAAACCATATCCATACATTATGCACCACTTGCATCGTGTTCAGCTGAAGTAAATCCTTGATTGATTCGGTCGTGCATGATCTTGGCAAATGCCCAAACCGACGCAATGGGGTAAATACTCTTTGTTTTTCTCCCCCAACTTCGTCAAGTTCGTTACGAAACTCGGTGATAATGGTCATATCTTCTGTCCCTCGCTATTTCGAAATGTTCGACCTCTTTTGTTTCAATTATAGCCTCGTTTGACCGGGTCACAATTATAGCAAGCATTGTCATCACACTCGCCAAAGGCCGTCTCACCTTGCTTTTTCACATGTGAAAAGATGCGTTGCAATGGGATAGAAAAATCGATGCCCATGGATTTAAACTTGGCCATGGGTTTGGGTAAACTTGAGGCATACACAGCCTAGAGTACGGCGTACCATTGTCGTCAAAATTCGGTATGCACATACACGAAACGGAAGGACATATATTACCGTACCCGAAAAGCACAAGGGCAAGGCGTTTGCCCCAGTTCAGTTCGTGGTCACTATTCATGGTTCTAGAGGAAAAAATCAAACGTCTTTGAAAATGAAACGGTTAAGAAGCATTTTCGTACGTAAATGCTCTCCGACTGTCATTGGTAAGTTCATGTGTTTAGACATAGAGACTGTAATTTGGCTGTAGATACCTGCGACACTTTCATAATTTGAGATTCGCTTTGACATTCACCCCACGAAAAGTAGGTCAGATGTGCCGATCGATCGCAGCGCAAATATAAGACTTACAAAAGCAAAAAGGAAGCAATTTCACCACATAATAATTTCTTGGTAATTATAGCGTGTAAACTAATCATTTAAGTAAACGACATGGTGATAAAACAACACTATACGAACCTGGAGCTTCAGCCATCTGTATGAAGCTGGCCAACCGGCCGTGGTGCTTCCTCCGTGCTCGGGCCAAGCACGGCCAATCGGCGGCTACTTCCCCGTTCCTTTCACCAGCGAAACCCGCTCCACTAACCCTCTAGAAAGAGAGACCACGCGATGCCGTCGGTCAAATCCGTAGAATATTTCCGCCACGAATTCCTTCAAATGAAACCTGTCTACGGATTTATGTCGATGTTTTCAAAATTGGCGGCAGTTTAGCTTCAAAAAGTGGATGTTCGTATAGTCCAAGCGTACATGCAAGAATGTATTTCCGATTGTGTGGGTCGAACATACGTGATCGCAACCAGCTGATAAGCACACACACATGGGCCTATGTTTTGCCCCCAAGTCGGCTTGATACTACCTCGGCTAGCTAGCTACGCACGCAACATCATTACTGTGAACGCTCGGTCCTTACACTCAAATACCACGTGACTAGCATAAGCTAATGCGTGTGTATGTGACATTCGCACACTTTTAAATTACTAGTCTTTCATTACAAAGACCGTATGCTAAAGTTAATAGTGTGTTGATTTCGAAGAGTAATAAATTCATAGCGCTAAATTCTAAGAGCAATAAAACTTTGCTTTGAAAAATACTTCAATGGCTTAACAATGCTATATCGGTCTACCTTTCTTGAACCTTAATCCTACGAAAGCTATGACCTACATGCGATATAAGCTTTGGAATAACTAGCCTACATGCATTTATAGTGGTCAGGAATAATTATATCAAGCTTTGGATTTATTAGCCTATATGCATTTATAGTGAAAGTCAGTTATTGTGAGTTGAGGTTTTATCCAAACGACGTGTATATTAAAATTGAAATTGATAAACATGGTGCCAGTATGGCATCCTCTCTGGCGACCAAATGCGTGTTACGGGGCGTTCAAACTGCTGGGGGTGGGGTGGGGGGGGGCGTATCCCACAAATGCCAAATTTAATTCAAGAGTACATGAACTAGTATTTCTTTTAAAAGTGTTGTTCTTATTTCATTCTTTATCTTTTTTTTTCAACCTATTTCGTGACTTATCAGGTATCGCTACTAAGCGGACAGGGGAAAATTGCCCAATTGATTTAAAGAAGGAAAAAAAGGGGGGAAGGGAATCGGGAGGGAAAGAAATGGAAAATGGGAAGGGAACGTGGAAGCACCCACCCCCCCCCCCCCCCGAACCCTACCTTCATTCAATAGACCCTCTCTATACCATTCCAATTCCAGTAACCGCGTCCCCTCCCCTTCACACCTGTGGCCCTTCAGGGACTGGGCCCATGCTGTGCCAACACCACTGGTTATGATGATGACAGGTGTACATTTATCATGTTACCTGATAATAAAAGATAACATTCAATATTTAACAATCAATTCGGGGGAAAAGATACAAATTCACGATATAGCAATCAATTCTAAGAAATGGAGAAAAAAGGGATTCTCCGTTTCCTCCACCAAAACCTTGGAAGGGAAGCCGGTGAGAAATGAGCTGGGAAGTTGGGGAAAGGGCCGCACAAGAAAGAGGTATAATTATGCACACACACATTACCGAATATTTCGTCCAATCAATTTGTCTTTCCCTGCTAACCATTACCTCATAATTCAGGTGAAGAGGTGATTTATTCGTCATCAATATACTTTTAGTTGTATTCATAATTATGACAACATTACAGTGTCGTCATAACAAGTTTCAAGAGTTTGCTCGCTCGCTTTGCTCACTCGTGAAGATTATAAGCTTGATATTCCGACACGGAAGGTCGTAGTCGTGCTCGTTTGCCTACTTCCGTGTACATAGGTTATCAACATTTAAAGCCCCTCTGCACTTGTTTGGCATGGAGGGATTAGACCTCCCTGCAAGGTCACTGGCAGGTGGTTAACTCATCAAATCAGCTCTCAACTAACATAAGAAAAAGGGGATCGCGGGGGACCTACAGGAACCGATTGGGGAAGTTTTCTATATAGAGGGAGCAAGTAGCTTATGTTTAAAACGCCCGCGGAATTGAAAGGGTCAGGTACATTTTTCACAGCCTTCAGAATTCATAATAATAGTTGCACGGTGCAGGTCAAGTCCATCGATCATTAAATAAGTTTTTCTTTGTGCTGTAGTTCAGGAAGCGTTTATTGAGGCTGAGGGAAATTGGGGCTCAAGCCCCCCCCCAAAAAAAAAAAAAATATATATATATATATATATATATGTCTGTCGGCTATAAGACCTTTTTCATTGATTATAATTATATTGAATATACCACTGATTTCAAAAATATTCACAACACCTTTAAATACGAGTGAACGAGGCAACCGAGTGGCGGCCGGTTTCGGGATAAATGACCCTTTTACGTTTCTCTCCGTTGCTCTCCCTTTCTTTACCCTCAATGGGGGTGTCTTCGTGCCCCCCCCCCCCCCCCTCCTCGCAGCAGTGATTCAACTGTTGTGAACAGTACGGAATGGCGTCACATCTGTGTTGAAGGGATGTGAGTAAAAGCTCTCAGCATAATTATATTGATAACTTTGTGGAATCTTTTCTTCCAAAAGAAAGCATTGAAGCAAAAAGAATATATACAATTGATTACATAAAATTATTGATGTTATTCATATTATTAAAGGGCTTGCATTTTATGAACGACTAAATCTTAAAATAGCAAATAGGTTTCACAGAGCTCCATGATAACTCCTTGGTTAAAACAAAATCACTCGTTCTTATTTTAGCCGAATAACCTTTCCTAAAGGAGCTGATGGGAGGGGAGAAATTGGGGAGCACATGCTTTGACTGAGGAAAGGTTGGGTTGGGCAGTGCCAGTGGTGTACGTACATCCAGGCCCCCCCCCCCCCCCCCCCATGGCTGTACACCCTGAATGTCAAAATCCCCCTTTTCACCCTCACTTTGTACGGTCCCTCGTAAAACATTATGAAATCTTCTAAAATAGCATTCCTGCAATATTGTGTTCATAATATCCCCTGCCCGGAAAAAAAATCAATGGGATCGCCCCCATTCTCATCCAACAAGTGCTTGACAGCTGTGTTTACGTCTTTGTTAGGGTGTGTCATCGATAGTTGCTTCTTCATTTCATCAAAGGTAAAGGGTTAGGGTTAGGGATGTTCGAGGGTTAAAGCTAGTGACCGCGGAACATTGTCGCTGGAGCATGTGGCGTTCAAACCTGACTTCGTTATATGTGAATACACAGGCCTGGATTCGAAGGTTCGCTGAACCAACGCATTGCAAATTGAAACTGGGTACTACGTCCAAGACTAGGCGTTGCATACCAATCTTTTACAAACGCTGATAGTCGTGTACTTCGGCGACCAATCACGCACCGCTTTGAGTGCGGCTTTGACAATGCCCATTCATCAAGTAAAAAAAAACGGAAAAGAAAAGAAACAGAAAGAAAAGAAAAGAAAGAGAGGTAAAGAAGGCTGCCTATCCAATGTACACAATGCAGGTCACATGACATTTAATACTGGAGCCGTGAGCTCGCAATCTAAAAGTTTATGAATAGGAGTAAAGATCAATTGTAAAAAGAATGCAATAATGCCGTTCCTATCCGTGCGTAAGCAGTATAGTAATGCGATGTCAATGGCAAGATCAAGATGAGTTAAAGGGCCCACGGTATAGATTAAATGTGACGACGCCTTTTCTCTACACGTTTGACGTTATTTATGCGTTTTCACTGGATTCTTTTAGGTGCTCTATTGGTAAATCAAAAGTTTCGTGGCATCCTCAAAGATTGACGGTTGGCGATGATATAGCCGTATCCATATGGCATGCAAACGTCCAGTGGCGGATCCAGGGGGGGGGGGGGCCCGGGGGGCCCGGCCCCCCCCCCCCTTGAGAAAAAAATCATGTAAAATCACGTGATTTTTACCTTTTTTGGGGGTTGGCCCCCCCCCCTGGCGCTCAAGGGGGGGTGCAAATTGAATTTTTTTGAGGATCAAAAAAAAAAAAAAATGTGCTCACTACCCCCCCCCCCCCGCCCCCCCCCCCCCCCCCCCCCCCCCCCCCCCCCCCCCCCCTGAGCGAATTTTTGGCCGGCACGTTTTTCAAATTTTCGGGAGCAAAAAAAATAAATAAATAAAAATAAAAATTGTGCTCTGTACCCCCCCCCCCCCCCCCCCCCTCACTGAGCGACTTTTCGGCCTGCGCGATTTTCAAATTTTCGGGAGCAAAAAAAAAAAAAAGGTTGGGCCCCCTCCCCTAAGAAATCCTGGATCCGCGCCTGCAAACGTCACCTCATTTTTCGGGAAGCGAGCGACCTAAATGTTACGATTTCTGAGTTCGCATCGCGATTGAATAGATATTATTATTTAGATGAAATAATCATCCCTGATGGGGTGTGAGCACAATCCCATAATGAAATAATTAATGAGACATTTGACAGTTTTCTTATTGATGTACTATACTGTTTAAGCGAGCATAGCGGGCGAGTTTTGGGGAAATTCGAGGAAAAAATACTCTTGTAGTAATAATAATAATAATATTGGGTTCTTGTATAGCGCTCATGTCAGTCAGATTTGACCCCCCCCCCCCCTGGCGCTCCCGTTTATTACCCTGGCTTTAGCACAGCTGCCATACGGCGCTCTAGCATTTCAAGGAATAAATTCCTACCAGGTACCCATTTACTTCACCTGGGTGGAGTGTGGCAAATGTAGATCAATGTCTTGCCAAAGGACATTAGTGCGGCGGCGGGACTCGAACCGCGGACCTTGTGATCGACAGTCCGGCGATGTATCCACTCGACCACAACACCTCTACATAGTACCGTATTAATGCCTCTTTTTACACGAATGACATAATTTTGTAAATGTAAATGCAGTTGCCTTGAGTTTGAAAACTGTTGTTTGTTTGAACCTTTATATTCTTGAACACAGGGCAATTTTATTAGCTTGGTATTCTATGAAGTTCAAAAGGGCATGGGGTTTTAAAAATGAGAGATGAAAGAATGTGTCTTTTAGAAGTTGAGTAGAATATGTCAAGGTAACTCAAAGGAACAAACGTTTAGTGTAAAAGGGGCACACTTTTGATATCAAAATTACTTTTCTAGAGAAGGAAATTTTGAAAGCGTTGAAAACGAGCACGATTACATTTTAAAAGGGGCACAGTTTGTTCATAATTATGACGGCTGCGTCTTGTCTTCGTGGTGGTAGAAATGGAAAATGAGAAATACAGGTAGAAACGGTCATTATAGAAAGGTAAGATGACACTTGTCATATTTGGAAGGGGCGCTTATTAAACATGGAAAAGGCACTTATAAGGAGGGGAAAGAGCACTTTTTAGAAAGGAAACGGTGCACGTGTCAAAGTAAAGAGGGGCAGCTATCAGAGTGGAAAAGGGGGACTTCTCCTTCCTAAAAATTGGTACTCATAACGGATGAAAAGGGGTACTTATTAGAAGGGAAAAGGTGCACTGTATTACCCCAAAAAAGGAGTA